TCATTATTGATCAGACCATCCCTGAGGGGGGGTACAGGGATTTTTTTTCAAAACAAAATATTATCCTCAAAATTATTCACACCATATATAAATCGACTCAGTTTTTAGCGCTGATTCCGAATCTGATATTAGTTTTAAACCAAATCGTAGCTTTCTAACAAAATATCGCATGAAAAAGGTCTCAAAATGCACAAAACCGTATCCAGACACCAAATTGCCTAGATATGTCTCAGATGACTAGTAGTTTTGAGATTTGTCAAATAGCTGGTTTTGTAGCTAGTCAAAAGGACTACTGAAAGGTAAAAATCCGGACTCGATAGCTATTAATATCAGTGAGTTATTATGAAAATACTGATGTCTGTATCTATTATATATCTCTTACAAATTCATGAGGTTGCTTATGATCGTAATTCCCCTAGATACAAACACAAATTCATTTAAAAATTATTCCTCTTATTCCTTTTACCTAGTATTTTTGGAGTAGATAGAATTTGTGAAGAGCCTTGAATAATGATAGGGGGTAAATATGGTGCGTTCGAGGTTTCCTCAACATTACACTATCCGAAAACTATGAAAAACTCACATATACTGACACTGCTGTTAGAACTGTTTATTGTTGACTAAGAATATAAAAAACAGGTCAATGTCTATTTCCGCTTTTTGCAGTACACATAACTCTCGGATAAAATCCGAGGTTACGCATTTATTTTAATTTAATATGAAGAAAATATTGTCGGTAGAATAAATTCTATAAATAAATATTCTATTTAATTCTCGTTTTTGATCTTTATACACTAACATCTCATAAAATTTACTAATCATGCTTCAAATATTTTTCATTACAGATTCATCTTCTTAACGAGAAAAATTCTATAAGATTTATTTGAAAGTAAATCCTAATTTGCCTTTGCCTCGAAGTAATAGATTTCAATAATATTCATAAAAGCATTTTAACCTAGTGGATATCTAGAATTAATAGAATTATTTCATAATCATATTAGTTCTTAAACAATCTTCTTCTCATAAGAAATATTTAACAAATTTCCATTTATTAGTTTTTTCTTATTTTATCGAGTTACAGGAATAAACAACAAATTTGTTAATCAATTAGATACGTAAAATATAATATTAATAAGAGAAGAGTTTGTCTAAAACATCGAAACAATTATTATTTCTGACACAATATTATTATAGTTGAACTATTAATCTTCATATATAATTTGTACTCAACGACATTAGATTTTTATTTAAAACTAAAAATATTTTTAAAATCTTCTCTCATGCGATAAAAACAACAATAAATCAAATGAATGTCGAATAGGACATGCACGCACAAGATTAAATTTTAAATTTTAATTAAACTCAAATTAAGTAAGTCTATGAATTTATTAATGATAAAAGAAAAATTTAAAGAAATTCAGTGATGTGATTACTTCTCCGAGAATATTTCTATAATCTGCGAGAAGATTGTTTCATAAGATCATATTATGACGATTCTATGTTGTTGTTGTTATTATCTTTTCATCTGAGTTCGATACAAAAAGTACTAATGTAAGAAGTTTGTTGTTTAATTTAATTTCACTTCTGCATTAAACATGTCACCTTTCATTCGCAGAAAACCTATTACATAGAAGAGAGAGAGAGAGAGCAAGTAGTATTAAATCTATTTGTTGTGATATATTAAAAGTTTTATTAATTTAGAGAGCAGAAAAAGAGATGAGAAAAGTGACAAGATAATAAACATTCTTTTCGTCTTTTCAATTAATATTCATAATCATATATTTGTATCGTACAAGTTTTAATGATAATTTATTATTTCTCGATTTTTTATTCAAAACAAAAGAAAAAAAAGTTGAAGTTATGTTTCAAAAATAATCTTTACATGAACATTGTCCATTTTTATAGAAATGATGAATTCTATTTGCATCACGAATAATAATTTCACATTGACGAATCGAAGCTATTAGTTTTATTGCACGATCTATGAATATGGAGAAAATGAAAATAAAGATGTTCAATAATGATGACTTACGACAATCACCACAAATACGAAGATCATTTGTCAGTTGTATTCTTGTTGTATTTGGATTTGAAATAAAATTCCATGCAATTGCAAGTTTTTCACTATGTCCATTAAATACTAATTCAATAGTTTCATATTCATTCAATGATCGTGTTATCCAACTTGGATCATATTTATGACCATGTGAAATAAGTTCTTTCGAAATTTTATTAATTTCATCATAAATTTCTTTAGATTGTGGATGAGATCGATCATGAGCTCGAAATTTCTTTAAAAAATTCATTAGATATATTATTCTAATTGTAAGACTTACATAGATTTGTCCATTGACAACAGTCGTTGTGTGGCCAACTGTTTTCTTCATACCTGATTGATTCAATTCCATTATAATATCTGATGCTTTATTAATTTTAGTAGATGATTCATCAACATCATCAACACCATCAAAAAGAATTGATACTGATATTGATGGATTTTCTATTTGAGGAAAATGTTTTTTCATTTTTTTACCAATTTCTTTTGATAAAGGTTTATTCTTTTTAATCATTGCATTTGATAATAATGCTACTAAAATCCAGATATACAATTCTATTTAAATTATAAAATGTTTGAAAAATACTAACGGTACATAGGTGATTGAGGCAAATGACTATGTTCAAATTGATTAATTAATTGTTTTGCTTCATCAAATAAACATGTTCGACTGAGACAATCGACCTAAAAAAAACTAAAGAATAATGAAATAAAAATGAAATAATATTTTAAATACCATTGTTGTATAAATCCTTTCTGTTTTTATTCGAATATTTTCAAAGATTGAACGAGCTTGATCAATAAGTCCTGAAAATGAACATGCATTTAAAATACAAACATTTATTGATTCATTAATTAATTTTGATGGAATTTTATAATAAAGTTCAATTGCTTTAATTCCCATTCCATTGAAACCATAACAATTAACTATGAAATAAGAAATAATAGAAGTACATTTCTATCATTTTTAAATCAAACAAACTCATTGATGCATATACAATTTGATCTGGTTGAGAAATTTTTTTGAAAATCTCCTCAGCTTTATCGACATATCCAATTCTACCCTAAATAAATTTTTATAAAATAAAAAAAAACATTTTTTTTATTTTATTTTTGTCAACTTGCCCATAAATGAATTAATGCATTGGATATTTGATCATCGATAAGAATCGATTTGGGAATTTGTTCAATAATTGATTTTGATATTGAATAATCGGCAATTTGAGATAAAGCTTGAATAATATAAGTATAAATTCTAATACTTCCTTCAATATGATTTGTTTTCATTTCATTGAATAAATCTATTGTTTTTAAAGGATCTTCATTTTCATTAAATTCATTCATCATTGTTTCATACATTGATAGGGATTTTTGTCTTGATTTTGAAAATAAGAATTGGGTAGATTTAATATGATCACATTTCATTTTAGCATCTGATAAAGATGTTAAAAGACGAGGATTTAACTTAAATGATTGCGGAATTTGTTTTGAAATTTTTTCTATTAAATTTAATCCTTCTTCATTTGCTAATTGAGCACAAGCATTAAATAAAAGAATAATAATAACTTCATCAGGATCTTTTATTTCATTGAAGAGATCAATCACTTTATTTGCTTGATTATTTTTAATATAACCTGAATAAAATAAAGAATTTATTTAATAGAATTTTATTTAAATTATGATAAATCAAACCTTTCATCATTGCTTCATAGATTGATAAAGATTTTTTTGTTAATTTCTCAAATAATATCTCAGCATCTTTCATATAATCACATTTAACTTTAAATAGAAAATAAATAAATGAATGAATGACGTGAGTATTTCTTATGAGTAAACTTACTATAGAAGTGAATTAATGAGATTAATATATAAGAATCTTTATTTATACGAGATGAAATAAGTTGATGAATATTTCTCCCACGTTGAACATCATTTAAATTAATACATGCTTTTAAAGCTTGACTAATTGTTAAATTTGATAATGATTTAACATTATTTATCTTGAATTTATCAAATAATTCAAGTGATTTATTAAATTGTTTATTATCATTTAACGATTTCATTTTCATACCCAAATCAAAATCAGATTCAATATTAATCATTGAACGTTTAATAAAAATTGTGAAGACGATAAACGAGGAATTAGTAAACGGTTCGACATTGAACTATTTATCATATCAAGAAATTCTATTAAAAATAACAAGAATGATAAGGAAATATCGAATTTGGGTAAATTTTAAAATGTATTTTTCTTTTAAATATATTAATTGGATGTCATTATAGAACCAATCAAAATAATTTCATCTTAATAGTTAATTCAACTTGTATGACTCGAATAAAAAAAAGACGAAAAAAAGAGAGTTGAATATCAATTATTGCGATATGAAGATTTTTCATTACCAAAACAAGATACATTTGATCACTAGATTTATTCTTAATAAATAAATCATATATTAACCATGCGCCATGCGAACGTTTTTTCGACTGTCTGAAGCTTTAAAAGTATTTTGAGTTAATTGGATCATTTAGATCGAATTGAATTATTCTTTATTTTAATTATTTCAATGAGATATGACGTCGAGAAAACTATCGGTGATGAGTAGAATATTTATTGAAAACAATATTTTCTATACAAGAAATTGATTCTCATATGACAATAATAATATCTCTTTTTATTTAAATAGATATTTTAATAGAAAAAACAAGAAGTAACAAAAAAATGTTTGCATCGAATATAATCTTGATTTATATAAGAATATCGATAGACATTCTTCTAATCAATAAAAAGAAACCTTTGAGTAAAAGTCTCTTTGTATTTTAAATATTTGTTTTTTTTCTGTATTTACAGAATAATTGATAAAAGTCAAAATGTATCAAATAACACAGCGGTAGTAAGAAATGACGATTTTAAGATTTTCACAAGTTTTATATACTATCAAAATATAGGTGACACGAATTAAATAGATATGAGTTGATCGAAATCAAGAAATTAAAAGAAAATAAATCCCAAGATTAAAATCACATTTTTGCGACATTTTCTATAAACAAATTAAACCTCGTACGAAAAATGAAAAAACAAATGATATCAGCTTGCATCTTGATGTATTCATGCATACGATGAAAAGGTTAAAAAAAAACGCCCTACTATTAGATGAATGCTTTGCTTCACATCGCATTAAAAAGTGCAGTCATTTCAATATCTATGATGATTCGTATTCTTCTCAATGATGTAAGGTTAATCAAAAAAAACTAACGTAACTTTTACACATTATAGAACTAAATAATACATCTTTTTGCGATAAAATTTCTTGAAAAGCTTGTTTTTACATTGAATGATTATATTTTCTACAATGTGATAAAATGAAATTGTTATATATTGAATAGATTTGTAAATCATATTGTGAATGATAAAGGATCACTAAATAAAAATGAAATTTCTTCTCAATTAGATATCTACCAGAATTTAGATAAAAACAAATTTTTTTATTCGTATATGAATATGTGCAAAACTCCTTTCCACAAGTCATAAATGAGGTGGATAGAGATAATTTACTTTCTCATAAATCATATATCGAAAATAATCACACCTTAAAAGTAACATGTTGATTATGAATATAATTTGCTTTTTTCTCTATTGATTCGTCACATTTTTGTATATATCTAAAATGATATGTTTGAATACTAACTCTACCCACTTACTCTTATCAAAGTAGCTCTGGTTTAAAAAAAATACCCTAAAGCGCATTCAATCATGCATAACTCATTCATCGTTTTTTTCAATAGTATCGATTACACACTAAATAATGAGAAGTGATAGTAAAGAGTTAAGTCTAACATCATCAAGTTCATCAGTATTCAAACAATTACAATTCAACTATCTCATTGGTTATGCACTTGCAGCAAGTAATTAGATTTTGTTATTCTATTCTATTCTATTCTATTTGAATTGTATAGCTGGTAACTGTTTACAAAGTTCGTATCGATATGCTATTTTCGATTCATATGATCTTAGACGAACAACAATTGAACGAATTTTTCTTTGTGCTCATATTTCAACGTTAACTCTTGGTACACTTACTTCATCACTTTCTGATAAATAGTAACTCATGCATATATATATATATACATTGATTAGAAGATATATTATTATCGATATTTAGTGGACGTCGAACAGCATGTATTTTATCAGCCATATTCTATATTATCAGTTGTCTCTCACTTGTAAGTAAATTTCTTAAAATAATCCTAATGTAAATCTTATAATGTGATTTGTATCTTAAAAGAACATGAAAGTAGTATGGATATTTTTTGTTGGAAGTGCAGCTCGTGGTATAGCTCATTCATTATATAATACAAATTTTGAAGCATGGCTTATTCATGATCATCATAACGTATATTTTAATTATTCTAATATCCATTTTCTTATATATATATTATTTTAGAGTGGTTTAAGTACTGATTTACTTAAAGAGATATTACGAAATTCATGTAAGTCAGATTATTTTTAAGATTAGATTTTTGATTTGATTTCTTAAATATAGTTGTTCTATCATCAATTGTCGCTATAGGAACAGGCTTTGTTTCTGAATTGTCAGCAGAATTACTTGGATATGTGTAAGTTATCACTTCTAACATCATCACACTCAATTAATCATATTTTGTTTGATTTAACTCTTTTACATACAGAATTATAAACTGATTTATGAGATAATATGATAATTATTTTCAATTGTCATTCTATATCTTGAAATATTTGTTTTAGAGCTCCATTTGATATTGCTATTGGTATATATTTAATTATGATAATTTTTATTTTAATCCAATGGAGAGAAAATTATGGTGATAAAGAAGCATCAAGTACAACTTCATTTATTCATTCTATTGAAATACTTCGAAATGGTTAGTAGATTTCTTAATCTCTTTAATAAAATTCTATAAAAAAGATTTGAAATAAAATAGATCCTCGTATTCTATTAGTTGGATTAATTACATCATTATTCGAAGTTACAATCTATATTTATGCAATGGAATGGACACCTGCATTGGAACGTGCAAGTATATGGATTATCCATGAACCATTACCATTAGGTATAATATATTCATCTTTTATGGTAATTACAGATTTTATTTGAGAATAGAGAGAGAGAAATCTATTTCTTTCTAAAATAGTTTTTTAATATGATTGGTACAATAGTTTTTAAACCATTATCTCAACGATTTCGAGTACAATCATTTATGTTGTAAGTTGAATAGAATAATTCGATTAGATTTTCGACATGTTTTTATATTTTAGAGTTATTTTTCTGTTAACTGCACTTTCCTATTGTATGTTAGTTATTGTTCCCGATGTAAGTATATTTCTCATTTTCAATAGATTTCAACTTGAATTTATCGAATGTAATATAATGTAATCGATTTAAGGTTCAACCCGTAGTTCTTGGTAGTTTTTGTCTCTATGAATTTTGTGTTGGTATTTATTTGCCATCCATAAGTTTATTAAGAAGTCAATATTTACCAGATTCAGGTAGGAATAATATATTTTACTTTCTCATTTTAAGTTTATTTTGTCTATATAATTTGTAGTTCGAGCAACATTAATGAACTATTTTCGTATACCTCGAGTTGTATTAATGGTTATAATTATAGTTTGGGTGAGTATGATTCATATTTCATTAAGAATATTATATTTTTAATCTCAATTTCAAGGATCTTCCACTTGCACTTATATTTACTTTCTGTAGTATAATGTCCATTATGGCATTTGTGTGTTTATTAATATTACGAAGGTATGGGGAAAATGAAAAAAAGATTGTTTTTCTAAAATATATTTGTTTTGTTTTCTAGTATGAAACCACCAGAAGAATATTTTGAGCCAAGTGAGACTGTCGTTTTATTACCTCCAACACCATCATATGATCTTAAAGTGAAACAACCTCAGATAACATCATAATCTTCTCATAGAATCGATAATAAAATCACATCAATAAATGTAAACAATAAATACTATCTAATATTATTATTGTTCATATTAATGAACTGAACAAAAAGTTTTCATAGAATTTATTTCAAATAAAATCTTATACCTTTCATATATTGTAAACAGTTTTTGTGTGAAAATAAATTAGAATTAATTACTTTCTATTTCTTAGATCCATATCGAATGAGTTTAAACTATTTTTATTAAACTGCATAATCGAAGTATATTCTATAATATCGTTTTTCGTTATAGAAAAGAATGAATAAAAAATTGAAATTCCATTTATATGAAAAATATTCTTTTGAAAATATATCTAGACATGACGATAATAAAATCATTTTTTTTCGAGTTTACTTCTGATTGTCAATAGTTATTTAATATGAAAGTATTTGAGATGATTTCGAAAGATTTGTTAAAACTCATCTTGAAAATAACAATATGAAATCTATTTTGCACATTGACATCTCTATTTGTTAGATTATACGATAAATCTTTTACATAGATTTTGTCAATATGTTATCGATATCGATATCATTTTTCAATGATGAAATAAATATCTAATATTGAAAATTCCGAATTTCAAAGTTATTTTTTCTATTGTTGAAATGTTGTTTCTATTAGTGTTATATGATTTTTAATGTTGATTAAAAAGTATGTTGTGTATGTACAGCATTCATAAATGAAATTTCATCTTGTGTAGATTGTCGATTAATAAAAGGATTTCTTTCTGGAATTCTTCCAAATAATTGTAAACGATCATAATGATTTTTTAATATTCCATTTAATGATCCTAAAAGATTTAAATCAATTGATGAATTTGTTTTAACATATTCTTCAATTAGATTTTTCACACGATTAAGATCTTGAATATCTTCGGAATGAATTAAACAAATAAGAATTGTTAAAATATATTGAATTGGAATATGAGAAAAATTTATAGTTTCTATCAATGATAGTGCCATTTGTCGAGCTTTTTCATCATATTTATAAGCATTTTCTGTTCCTCGAAATATATTTCGAGTTATTTGATCATAAAGAATAATCATTGCAAGTTTTTCTTTTAAAATTCTTGGTTGAAAATCAATAAATTGTTCAATAGCAGAATGATATTTTAGTAATTTTTGATCAATTAATTTTTGTTGTTCACGTTTAGCAAACCATACTGTTGTCCATTGATCTGTTAATTGAGTTGATGAAAGGGATCGATTAAGATTTGTTGTCCCATACCAATCAACTAATAATTGATACAATAGATTATTATTATCATCATCATTCACTTCTTCACATTCAAAAGACATAAAATTATACTAAAAATAAATCATTTCATCAATCATATTCATATTCTAAATTTGTCAAAATATTCTATTTAAACAACAAATTAAATATTTAATATATTTTCATCAGATGATTAAAATAAAATATTTTAAAGGAACAAAACTATGACCAATCGTATATATATATATGAGTTTTAATGTCATTCAGTGTCATCTACTGATGATGAAGATATATATTATAGTTGTAAGGTAATAACATAAATATTAACATACTCTTGATAAATAAAACAAATTATTTTACATCGATATGAATTATATAAAATGAAGTTCTTAATTATTTTCTTTAAAATATTCAATATTAAAAAAGAGATTTCTATATCATTTAGATCTAAAACTTATTTTTCTCTAGTTAAATTGATGAGATCTGGAAAAAAAGCAAAAGTTATATCAGTTTTTATAACAAGGGGAAACAGCTAATTATTTAATTAGATATGATTAACAGTGATTAGTATTTGTTAGTGATGATGAGTGGGTGTGGGTGTGATTATTCTTTTTCTTCACACACCCACTCCGTCTTCTAATAATAATTAGGAGTGATTAGTGGTTTCCCCCTTCAGTTCTAATTACATAGGAATTTTCATTTTAATAGAAATATATGTAAACAAAAAGTAAGTGAATATAAAATTTTCACTGACTTCTTTAATTTTTCATCGAATTAATTATCTTAGTTTTGTTAACAAAATATTCTATATCCACCCCGTATTTTACTATATATTATCTTTATATGTTTAAGGGGACCCCCCCTTTCCTGAGCCAAAAATTTTTTTTTTCAGATTTTTTTTTTATTTAGTGTACGGGTGTATCAAGGTCCCCTCTAGGTGTGGTATAAAAATCAGACCCCCCCTAAGTCCGAAAGTCCCTGAAAAACCAAGTTTTTTAGAGACCTACGAAAAAAAGTTTTTTTTTTTTTTTTTCTTGTTTTAATAAAAGTTATATTGTTTTGTGCTATAATTCTACAATCAAAATCAGAACCATCCATGGTCGATAGGTCTCTGAAAAACCACGGGTTTTCGCAAAATCTGTGACAAAAAACAGTTTTTGTTTAATTTTTATGCTTTTATTGCTAATGATGTTTCATCGGAACGTTTGATTCCTTTTTCTAATCAATTAATAAATAATAATTAATTAAATCTGACATCAGATTCACGTTCTCCGTTCTAATCTGAGTTGTATGAATTTTCGTGAAAAAACGTTAATTAAGCATAATTAATTAATTAATTAATTAAAGCAGGCATCAAATTCGAATTCTGCAGCTTCGAATACATCTTTTTGCATTTTTGTGAAAATTTGATTAATTAATTAACGGCTAGTTAGTGTCTAATTAATGATTAATTAATTAATTAATTAAAATTGACTTCAGATTTGGATTCTCCATGCTAAATTACCCTTTGCACCTGAAAATTAGCAAAAAACCTAGCGTTTAAGTGAAAAAAAGTAAATTTTCTAAAACTTTTTTTTATTTTGCTTTTTTCTCAAAACTAGGTTTTTGGGTACCAAAAACCAGTTTTCCCCCTTTTTTTCGGGGATCTTAAGTCCGATCGGGCTGAAATTTTTTTTGGTAATACTTCAACTAGTTTGGGGGGTATACTTTTTTTTTTTTGTTGATATCTCTTACCAATAAAATTTGGCAAGATTTGCAAAATTGGTAAGCTCCTAAAATGCTAGAGATTTTTCGAGGTTTTCAGTATTTTGGGTCTCCTGGCTAAAGTTTTAGGAATTTTTCAAAAAAAAAAAAAGTATACCCCACAACTTAGTTGAAGTATGTCCAGTAAAAATTTCAGCTCAAAATATTGAAATCTGTGGATTTGCCGGAGGGAAAACTTTATGCTATTTTTGGACCTTGAGGTCTCCAAAAGTTCATGAAGGGGGGGTCTGACAAATTGTTGTCCGCTACAACTTTTGTTCCACTACTCGAGAGCTATCCACCCTGAAAATTTCAAGAAGTTTCGCCTTGCCGTTTCCGAGAAACCCGGGAAAGGGGGGGGGGGGTCCCCTTAAAGGAGAAGAAATAATAATTTGTATAATCATGTCAAATGCAAAAGTATCTGTCAAAGTTCTCCCGTTAGACACTGACACTTGTTTGAGATCGTATTTGAGAAAAGATTGTAACTAAATAGAGATTATGAAATCTAACAAAAAGAATATTTAATAATTTTATTGATTTTTATTTGAGAAAAATAAAATATTTAGATAAATAAAATCATTGATAGACTTATGAAATACAACACAAAAAAGAAAAGTGAATTAGATTTATATAAGTTTTGTTTAATTAATTTGTTCTCATTCTTATTTGTGTAGTTTGTTGTGGTACAATACGATGTTTTTGACAACTAATTTTCTTGATTAATTGTTGAATTGTATCTCGTAATGGTGATGTATATTTAATAAGCATAAATATAAGGAAAAATGATGAAAATGATACACATAACCAACCAATTCTATATGTTATTGAAGGTAAATGAGAAGTTAGAATAAATACAATTTAGAAGAGCGTACCACGAGCGGTTTCGATCTTGCTCAAGGATCTTCTCAAGTGGCTTAATAAATGGAAAAGAGTAACTGGTTATTGATAACTATTCAAGATATAACCTTGTTCACTTGCACTCTCTCAAGATATATATATAAATAAAAATAAAATATATATATATAATTTTTTGTAGAATTCATTCACTAGTTACTATCAAATTATA